AGACAGACAGACAGATTGTGATCAACTGACGGGATGACGGGGATAGAATGACATGGAGAAAAAAAATTATGTTTGTGATACGGACTGTTCAATCATTTAACTTAAAATGTTATAAATCTAGCTAGTTTAAAAATTAGAAGATCGGCAAAATAAGAAGAAATCTTGTCCAAGTAACATAACATTATTATACTTACTAAATTATAAAGATAATATTTAGAGACGATAAAAGATTTAATTATGATAAGAAATGGTGAAAAATGTATTTTTAAAACTGAATTTAAGATATAACTGCATGATTCTAGGCGTGTGCCATAACTAGCTTTATGTGTAAGGAACAGCGAACACAAAAGAGGGTCGATACCAGCTTTATCTGATTGCTAACAGTATTATGTCTTGGTCTATAAATAATAATAGGCCTTAATTTTGTTTCCTGTTTTTCACAAAGTGGAGCTCACAATAATAATTTTAAAAAAGAGAGATGACAGCACCTTTGGACTTTTCGAATGAGATCAAAACACTATTATTGATGCAGGAATAGTACAGTCTATTAGCTTGTGTCGTTGCGTTCCTCTGTCCTTATTAATGAAGTTGACATATTGTATTCTACATGCCTCCCTGATAATTTGATGGACTTGATGGGTATGAGGCGGCCCTGTTGGCCCTACCTAACGTGGCTGTAAGCTCAGGCGGTAGGCTCTTATTGGAAGTTTGATGTTCGGCAAAATCAAAGGCGTCGAGGAGTTCACACCTGGGCATGGTCTCTTTGTCGTAAAATCCTTGCGTCAGGAGCAAACTTGTACCTCGCATCGAGATTTAGAGCGGAGAAATGATCGCATGCATGAGCATGGATGACCTTTGAAGGAGTTTTTGTTCAATAAAGTATGATAATAAATGGAAAGCATCGTTTTTAGTCCCGGCCTTCACACTTCAGAATGGGATAATTTATCTTAGGGAAAATTCTTGTGTTGTAAAATATGTTGTTGCTTTGTTTGGTTTATTTCTTAACAGCGGGATCTTAAGTGAACCGAAATTATAAATTGAGGGATCTTAGGTGAAGACTACAACAATAGTCGTGAGTTGGGCAGCGCACAGCGCAGGTAGGCCATAGTTCCGCTGCGAGAGAGGGCTCCTATATCAGGCGTGCGATGCCGCCCTCAGAGCATCCTCCATTACTGTAACCTCCTTGATGTGAATACACAAACACAAAGCAAAGAACCAGAGAAGTCAGTACTACAAGTACATATAATACCAGAGAGTCTAAACTCTTTGGTGGAACATGACAATTATAAATTTTTTATTTCACATATTTTGGCTGTTTTTATCTAGCTTTTCGCGGCCAGGAGCCGGTGTCATTATCGAGGTCACGATCTGGTTATAGGACAGTAAAAAGTCGAGGAAAACAAAAACAAACAAGCACTCACAGCAGTCAAGAGATTATTAGGAGCTAGTTCCCCTCACATCTGTAAGGTAGACTCGACCAGTGCAATAGTTCGCTAATATAATCAGAGCTTGTGACTGCTTATGACTGTGGCCCAAGGAGTTTACTTAAGCTCCTTGCTGTGGCCCGAAAGAGGGGAACAGGGTATGTGTGGCAATGAAGCTGTTTTGAATGTTAGGCATACTGTTCTTTGGTGATAACGAACGTCTTTTGACATTTAATTACATGTATTATTTAAGAGGTGTACGTTTATGGGTGAATTTGACTGCGACAAAGTTTCAAAATTAGGAAGGGAAGCAGTGATTATTTGATTATATAGACGCTCCGCCACGTACTGCCCTTCCCTTCACTCTCCCTTCACTCTATTTTTTCTTTACCCCCGCATCCACTCGAACTTGGAGGATTTTGTAAAAAAAACAAACCCAACCC